CAACATACTTACATAGTAATGGCTCATTGTGTACATATTATTTTCTAAATGACATTGTCCATCATTTGGTAAAACAATCCCTCCAAGTTTCCCATCTCCAGCAAAATGGAACCCAGCATCCGTGGAAAAAACCAATAGTCGAGTGACATTTCTTCGCCATCCAATTTTTGACTGGGAGAGAAAAAGGAATTTGATAGAACATATACAATTAAAAATTCAGTAGCAAATAAAATGGAGGAAAAAAGAGATCCACATATCCACGTATTGTAGCACATAAGGAAAGATACTGATCCAATCTGTAGACAAGGCAGATTGTCTTATTTTAAAAATAATTTAAGAAGCGACTGGGCAAACATCTGAATTTTTTAACAGATGTGCTGCCTCTCTTGAGGCAGCTGTTGCCAACAGGATTCAAAGAGGCCATGGGGTAAGAGAAATGGCTATTAAAATTGGGCCTTCCAAACAAAAATACAGTTTGTACATTCCACACTTCACTCGAGTGAACAAAACAAAACAAAAAATTACTATTCTAGCAATTTTATTCTAGCACAGATTCTCAAATATCATGAAATAATATTTCAAATATCATGATATAGGCTGTGTACTTGAAAAATCAGTTGCCAGTCTTTATGGGAATAAGACCTGCACAATACTAAGCATGCAAGTCACAACCTGATCTCTAGTCCTTTTTTAACTTACTGAGAATACATATCTAAATAAATGCAAGTAATTAAGGTGTGTTCATTTTTACTTACACTGGATAGAAAAAACCTTTATCCTGTGTGTTTACACAGAAGTATATTAGAAGTTAGTTTGAATCAACTTAACTAAGCAGCCTTAAACAGTAAAAAGGTACTTAAGTAGCAGATTTATTAGTTTATATAAATAGCTCATGGAAACCTATGCTAATTATGTAGGAATTTCAAAGTCATATGAAAACTTCACTAGCAATAGGTCGTTGTAAAATATCAAAAGATATTGATATTTTATTTTAAATACAGCAGATCTTCTGGAGGAGATTATTATCTTTCCTTTCAAGGGAACAAAGCTGAACATTCTCAAGATTCATACTAGGTGACATTTATTTAAAAAAAGGATTACAGCCATTCTTAAGAAAGCAGTGAGAGCCTGTGATTGCTGCTGTAAATCTGGGGGGAGTATGTTCCAGAACATGGGGCCACTACACAAAAGATATGCTACCTAACTTACATATTTACATGCTACATGCTATGCATATAAGCAGCTTCCTATTTCCATGCCAAATACATTTGTTTTTCTATATCTTCCTTTTGTATTTGTATTTACATTATATTATAATCACATTCATACATATTTCTGCTAAAGAGTTGCAACAAGTCCATAAAGCCAGATGAGTAGATCAATTGGTTTTAATTATTTAATCATTTTTCTACTGTTTTATATTATTGATTATACCTTATCTATAAGTGACAAATTGTCAAGAAATAAACTGTATTGTGTCATGGGTTATGACAGGAAAAACACAAGTAAAATACAGATTTTTTATCCTCAAAACTTGTATCCAAGAAGTCACCTTTAAATGCCAATTCATTTAACCTGATCGACAACCATTTTTATATGGTCAATTATTACAGTAATAATAAAAATATGAGAAGAAAAGGCAATATCACTTACACCACAAACAGCAACCTGCATTATTGCATCAAATCCCCCTTCTGGAGAATCCAAATTGCCTGAGATTTGCTGTTCACCCACAAGTGTATTGAACCAGCTTCCATTGCTGGTAAAGTTGAGTACATTCCTGTAGCTAAAGGGACTTGTACAGTTAAGGTCACCTGTGCAGGGATTCCTGAGTTTGGCAGGTGTGGTACTAATATAAGGCATTACTGTTTTTTCAACAAAAGAACCAAAGCCTAAAAGAAAAAAGAAGAAGAAAAAACATCTAAGTATCTTCTAGTTTTGCCATTTTCAATACAGTCAAAAGCTCTACGTGAAAGCAGGCAAACAGCTGGACAGTTCATGCCCTGCAAGGCTTTTGTCACTGGCAATCCTACTAGAAGCATCCTCTAGTCACTGGTCTCCAAAAGACCCCCAAGAATTAATATTGTACAAGTTTCTGGTCTACGTGCTTTATCTTAAAAGGTAGAGACTTTTAACTGGAAAGAATACCATACTTTATCATACTAGAAATGGATAAAATCTATGTTAAGGAAATCAGTATTACTGAACAAATTAATCCATAATTCTTTATTAAAAGACAGGTTCTGCTAACTTCATATACTTCTGCTTCCCTTTGTAGGAATTTTTAAGAGATTAAATTCAATGCTCAGAACCAAATTCCACATTTATAGAGAATCTACACAGTAATTAGAAAGGAACCAGTAGAACAGAAGTGGTAATTTGCATCTATTTTTCTCCAGTTTAGGGATTCAGCTAGGAAAACAATCTCCAGATTCTCATCTTTGTGATGCCCAAATTTATTGTTAGCTTGACATTCTAAGAATATTTATGTCATAAGTAGTATGCACTTTCCTCCTGATGCAGAATTTCACAGTAAAAGAGGCCAAAACAGGCTTCCTAAATCATGTTTACAGTACATTTGCAAACAATTTATATATTATACCAAGATTGAAAAAAAGAAGCATAATCCTATGCATAAGCAAACTCCATACCAATTCGAAAATCTGAAGTTATATTCTTCATTTTACTCATTAGAGAAGTTCCAAGACTTTTGACATTTTCCAAGTCATCTTTCATAGAGTAGGAGAGATCCATGAGGTAATAAAGGTCAATTGGATAATCTTCAGCTCTCTTGAATTTTAATGAAAATGTCTGTGGTTCTCCTAATCACAGGAAAGCAAAGTTAAGCTAAGATTCCAAATGGCAGAAAGCAAGAATACAAATACCTTCATTATGAAAGATATATACCTAACAATAAGCTTGAAGCAAAAATATTATCTAGTTATTACAGTTTCGAGATATTAGAGAAGGGTTTCTCAACCTTATCAACTTTAAGATGTGTGGACTTCAACTCCCAGAATTTCCCAGCCAGCCAGCTGGCTAGAGAATTCTGGGAGTTGAAGTCCACACATCTTAAAGTTGCTGAGGTTGAAAAACCCTGTATTAGAGTCTTCAGTCAGTTTGAATGCTACTTATTTCAGAAAGTCATTCAGACATGAAGTCATAATTAAAAACTACTTGCTATGAAACTGGAAACCATAATTTGGATTCCCATAGCCACACATTAGAAGCTGCATGTATGTAAAGCTAACTTAGGTATGCAGCACTGAGAATGCTTTTGTTAGAAAAGCAACATTAAGAGGTAATGTTATGTTGATAACAGAATTGATATCAACATTCAGTAACTACTGTGTGACATAGATGCACGTATGTATACATCACAATGCACATATGATTTATTGTAAACAAGTAACATCTATTGACCCGTTTCTTTCCTTAGCAATTGGCTCTTTTACAAAACTCTACTGAGAGCTCTATCTCTTTATCAACTGTTTTTTAATTTCTCTCTCACTTTTCTACCCTCAAAAGGGTGCTAAAGGCAGATTACAAAAAATAAACAACAAAATATTAAAACACAGAATGATGCTTAGTTAGCATGAATAAAATGTATCAAAATAATTAAAATGATTTTTAAAACTTTAAACAGATTTTAAAACTTTTTTTCAAAAAAATCAACGTAATGAAATGTGGAAGTCAAATACAATTTCCAAGGGAGACCATTCTGCAATTCGGATAAAAAACTGAATTTAACAAAATGTTAATTTATTCTGTAAATAACATTTCGTTTGTGGGAGGCCAGATCATGCTGGCTATGATAAATTTATGGAAATGATACAAAGAATTCTTACTTGATTGTATACATTTTGATTGAATAATGGTGGAGAAGCAAAGCAGTCTGGAACAACTACGCTTTACAGATCATAAATTACATTCTGAATTGATTTGTGAGAAGGAGCCAACAGCCATAGGTACCCACTGCTAGGAAAATCTTTTTGGTTCTACAACCCAGACCATCTTTAGATTTATTACAGTGGGAAGCAAATAATGTATGTTTTGGATTTTATTAGATGACCTCCTCTTCCTTCTATTCCCTTGGCGCTCCCAAACTACTACCTTATCTATTAACTGGAGGCATATATATATTTCTTTAAGCAATTCCAGAGCCTAGAAAAAAAAAGTTAAATATTTTAATATCTTTTCAATCTCAAATTAATATTTAGATTTTTGCATTTATTTCAAAATTGTTCATGAAAAGCCAATGCTCTAGAAATTATGTTATGCCTTGTTTCATGAAAGGTGGTTATTTAAATTAATACATTATTTCTTGAATAAGTATAAACAAAAGGCTTGCGAATAAATGAGTATTAAAAGACACATGAGATGCTTTTTGACTACTGCTTAAAGGCTTAGGGAATAAAGCTGTGATAAAAAGTTTGAAACAACAAAAACCATCAGGTTCTAAAGTGGAAAATTCTTAATGAACCCAAATTGAAAAAATGACCAGCACTAACCTAGGTTCATTATGTATATTATGGATCTGTCCCAATCTCCCCACTTTGAAAACAAACTTTCACAAATATTTTTACCTTTCCGCAGCTTTAACAGCACTTGCTGTGGTTGAATCTGAGTAATATCTTCTGGTCTAAGACTCTCAGCAGTCCCTTTGACACGATTTGTTACTTCTTTGTTTTTTAGCAGTATATGTGTCCCTCTGGGATTTTCAATTTCTTCTGGAGGGCAGCCTTTATTTTTTAAAGATTCCAAGACATCACATCGTGCTGCAGTAGATTCCCCTTCTTGTAAAAAGGTCTAACAAACATGAACAAGATTAGTACAAAAGTATTTGTAGTACATTTGTATTTAGCTATAATACAATCTTGTTTGCGAGAACCCAAGATGCCATAACATTCTTCACTTTTAAAAGCCATATGTGAGTTAAGCTTTTAAAATGCATATTTGTTACTTTGACACAGTCAATGCTAATTTATTGAGATCTCCTCAGCTGTGTGTAATTGTTGGACTATATCATACATTTTCTGTTTAATATTCTTGGGTGCTTTGAAGACAATTGCTTGAAAAATAGTATGTATTGAAGTAACAAAAATGCAACATGTGATTGAAAAAAGGCACAATAAATTAACAATGGCTGTAAAGTTATGGCCTCAAACAAGAAGCCACACTATAAAAAGGCAGGGACTTCAGGCTCTGAGAAGCGGAGGCCAAAGAATGATTTCATGCTCTTAAGAGAAGGGCACATAGAAGAGAAACACTAAAGGTAAGCCAGCTGGGCCTGTGCCAGGAATATGCTTCCCTCAACACTAAGAGAATGTGGCAAGGAACTGGACCTCATAGACCAGACAATCAGAAACCACAGCTACTAGTGACCAGATGTGATGGTTCTTGGGCAACATTTTGGCCCAATACTCAAGACGATGGCCATGACTCTGAATCATACAAGAGCAAATGTATGGACAAAATGCTTTTTGCAAAATGCAAAAAGTAGTTTTGTCCAGCATTCCATAATGTGAAGCTATGATCTCTTCTAAGAGAATGGGGAAGTACATGGAATCTTTTGATATAGTACCCTGCCTCTACAAGGACAAAAGCATTTTGCTTTTCCTTCTGAAAGAAATAAAATGAAATTCATGACTCTATAATCTTGCAATCAAGTCAGGTTGTTAAATTAGATTTCACTAAGAATAAAACAACAATCTAATCCATCTGTTCTCAATTTTGGCTAGACAGCATCTTTCTGGAGATGTTTCTCATTACCTGCTTCTGATCCTTTTTAACCTGAGGTGACAAGAGACTGAATTTAAGACCTTCTATGTATAAAGCGTGACTTCTCCTAATGAGCAGTGCTCCTTTTCAGGTCTTACTCTCCACTCCGCCCCACATACAAACTAGCAGAAAGCAACCACAGGCAGCCTACATTAAGTAGTTTTCCAAGAGCAGAATGGAACAACATGTCATGATATTTGATTTAGAGAGCTAAGCTCAAAAGTCAGTAACTGACTTCTGGTTATGTTCACTACTGACTCCTAGGAGGCGCTATACAACCAGTTTCATTCATATTTTTACATACACACACACAGAAAATATTGATATATATAATTTTTATTGATTTTTAAAAAAACAATAAACAATACAACTAAACTCAGAAAGGAAAAGAAAAATAAAGAGATAATAGAAAGTGCAAGAAAAAAGAGAGGAAAAAATAAGAAAAATAAAAGAAATATTTAAAGAAGTGACTTCTGATCTTCATCACAAAAAGTACAAACTTAGTAATTCTTCACCCCCTGTAAGGTTACATACAAGTATCTTTTCTTCCCATAACCCATCCCTTATCCATACGCAACCCCATAAATCATTAATATTTCAGTCCTGGTGTCAGCAAAAAATCCATAAAGGTTCCCAGAATTTTGTAGACACGTCTTAGTTTAACCTTGGTCAAACAAACCAATTTTGTACTCCTTCCTTCTGCTTCCAGCAATCTTGATATTTAATTCATTCAGATGTTGTTGTAGGATTTGATCTCTCGTCAGTTTTTCTCAAAGGCTTCTATAGTAAGTAGTCATTGTCCAGGTCTTGTCCATTGTCCAGGCTCGTCCGTTGTATTTCTACTTTAACTGTCATCTCTATTTTATAATCTACATTTTTTTTAATTTTTCAATATTTCAACAAGTTCTTTATATTCTAATATTTCTGCATCAGATGAGGTTTGTTTCAGGTCTTTGCCCTGTAGATCTTCCAAGGTACTCTCTTTCACGTCTGTCATTTCTTCTTTAACATCTTTTGGATATCCATAGAAGCAGACATCATTGCTGACACTGTAGCTCCTAGTTTGTGTCCCCATTCTCTAAATATCTCCTGGAGTATTTCAAATATCATACCATTTTCTGTCATTTTGTCTCAGTGCTGACCAAAAACAAAAGGCAAGCAGGTCTCTTTTTTTTGTTTCCCTTTTATGCCTGGAATCTTTAGTCTCCTCTAGTGTCCAATTTCTGAAATCATAAAGTCTCGAATTTCTGTTATGACTTAAAGTAGACTAAACAATTTTGTTCCCACAAAGCTGCTGTTTATTTATATAATTATTTCCAAAATCTTATAGAAACAGTCCTAATATTCCAAATTCATCTGGTCCCTTAATTCATTTATAACTTTCTTGGATTAAAGTCTTATTTAGCATTTTGCCATTTATTTCTTTAAAATTCTTAAGCTTATAGTTAATTTTTCTTTTATTCAAGAATGAAGGTAAACCCATCAGGTGGTTTTGCAAACTTGTCGTTTTGAAGATCTCTAATAGCCTTAAGATAGTTAAATAGGTAATTTCTGAAAGTGATTAGAAAGTGAGGTTAGTGAACCCAGCCTTCTTTAAAAGGCTCCACCGTGGTTGAGAGCAAGATGGCTTCCCTTCATCTCCTGGCACTCAGACCCACAGGGAACTGCTATCCTGTGGTCTCCTTGTGAGGAGCAGCCATCCAGAGCACAAGTGGGCAATCTCCCATCCTCTCCTTAGCTGGAGAGGTTCCATGGGACTGGTCTACTTGTCGGACCTTCGGTCGTGGCCACTCGTTGTCTCTGCTCATTCGGAGACATGCTAGCTTGCCATTCCTCACCTGGAAGTCTCCCCACAACCAGTTTCATTCTTGATGGAGCTTGTCAGGCACAGGAAGCCCCCTGTATGTAAATTCTTTATATACTGTAGTTTTAAAAACTTTTACCAGGATTTGAATTCACAGGCCCTGCACTCTGATGACTACAATGCATGTGTTTAGCTGTTAGAGCTATATCTGACCTGGGTGTCAGCAGTTTGTAGGAAAGGAAGTCTCTAGATCTTATGAATGGCACACTTTCCTTTTTTTAATTTGCACTCTGACTAGAGAGCTATAGGTGTTAATTTGTCTGAGCCTCATATCAGAAACCTCAAGGAACAGATTGTATAGTGCCTCCTAGTGGAGCATAGTGCACATGACAACTATAATACAAAGCTGTAAACTCTCCTTGGGGACAGGTCTTGAAGCTTCCAATACAAGGCCGAGACAAATGAACACCTGTAGCTCTCTTGTCTGACACTGCAAATGAACAAAAAAGGTACCATGCATAGCATCTAACTAATTTCTGCATTAAAAAGCCACCAATACATACAGAAAAAGTACCATCAAAATAGTTCATACATGTTTTTATCATTTTTACAGTCTGACATGATGGATATAAATTCTTGCAAATTGCCAAAAATAAACAGCCAAGGAAGCAGGAAATATTGCAGGTTATGTCTGTGAAATAGACCAGCTCATGCATACTTTTTTTTAGATTTTTTATCCTGCCTTTATTAATTTTATAAATAACTCAGGGCAGTGAACATACCTAATGCTCCTTCCTCCTCCCATTTCCCCCAACAACAACCCTGTGAGGTGAGTTGGGCTGAGAGAGAGCAACCGGCCCAAAGTCATCCAGCCGGCTTTCATGCCCAAGGTGGGACTAGAACTCACAGTCTCCTGCTTTCTAGCCTGGAGCCTTAACCACTAGACGAAACTGGCTTTCATACTTATGTTCTAGGTTTATATAAAAACTAACGGAAGATCTCCCAGAGACAAATTTGTAATTTGAAAAGTACTATATGAACCAGCCACACATATCTGCAGAACTATGGGGAAAAAAATCCATGTGGAAAACCAATTCAATCAAATTAAAATCTACATGTAGTTTACACTTGAGGTATAGAAATACAAAGCTGGGCTATAAAATATGTCTCTTGGCTGTACCATTTCAGATAATAAGTCAGGGTTCATATGACAGATTGTTCCCCCAAACAAAACTCAAGGAGCCTGAGAGATATATATGGCACACAAAATGTTATCTGGGAAATTAGCCCACAAGTGAAGAATCAGAATGTAGGACATTTCAGAATTCAAATTATATTTTAAATGGGTGTAAAAGCCTCTTGTTCACCTGCATTATCTGTATCTAAAGCCGCTGCCCTTCTAATGTGACAAGGCTATAATTAAATCCAGACAGGGTGACTCCAGAGAAGCATGGTTTTTAAATAATTATGAAGCAGCACTATGACACAGGGGAGACAGAGAAGGCCTATACAATTGCCAAATGAAAAGCACAAAGCTAAAGGAGAATGCTTAAACAGCATATTCTTCACCCTATCAACTCAAGTCCTGATTTTTTACAATAGAATTCTCCCCACTCATGAACAGTAACTAATGAAATGGAAAAAAAAGATCAGGAAAGTTTTTCCCTTTGAAAACCTGCCTAGGTCTCCACTACTCTGTCTCTGTGAAAATTCAAGAAAACCAATCTCTTTACAACAGATACAGGATGCACCATTTGTACAAGCTAAACAGCTTTACTTTCAGAGGGTTTCTCAAACCAAACCAAGCAGAATCACTTCCCTGCCACCTGAATACACAAAGCGGAAAGCATGAAACTCCTCTGCCTTCAAATGCACAAGGGTTCTGTTGATTCGTGTCAGACCAGGAGGAAGGAACAGACTCCTCTATCTTCAAATACTCTCGCAGTTGGTGAATGAAAGGAAGGAAAAGACTGGAACATAAAAGTCTGAGGGGGGGGGGACCCTTTTCTTTCCATGTGCTTTCTAGCTTGAGGGGAGAAACTGATTTTTCTTCCATTATGGCTAGGTCATAGGAAGCAAAATGTTAAGATGCCAGGAGAAGACTCTTATCTAGCACTATGATTTTAGACTACCTGACACTGTGAAAGGTGAATCTTTCACTCCCTGCCTGTCAAGTGTTCTGGAAAGTTAGATCTGTTTATTCATCTAAGATGAAGATCTAAGAGAAGAGGACGGCAGAGGATGAGATGATTAGATAGCATCACTGAAGCAATGAGCATGAAA